ACTAGCGTACATAAGGCCGATGATCATTAACACTAGCTAACAGGGAGATGAGGAAGTAGCGTACATAAGGCCTACGATCATTAACACTAGCTAACAGGGAGATGAGGAACTAGCATAGACAAGGCCTATGATCAGTTGCATTGAAAATGTACCTATACCTTTTTAAATGCCAATAAAGGGACTTATTTCATACTTTTATAGATATGTTGATACAGAGATTATTTTACATACTTTTTTCTGCATGAATTTATGTTACTAATTGTAAATATGGTAACATTTTAAACTAATTGAATGTGACCTCTATGGTGAAGTTTGGGTACTAACATATGAAAGGTATCTAATAAACTTGGACTGTTGTAGAATTAAGTATGAAGATGTGTCTTTCAAGTTTGATCTATTTATTATTGGCATTGATGACATCTAGTTATATTTATATATATTCTTGTACTTTCTGTTTTTAACTCAACAGGTCTGTGAGTTACCTGCAGCTATTTTCTATTTCAGATCATTAACTCTTATTTTCCCTGTTATTAACCAGATTTATGTACTGCTGGTAAGTACTTTAGCACCGGATTCTGTTTCTACCAACTTCCAAAAACTCCAACAAGAAGTCTTGACGTGGCTTCTTCACCGGATCGATCCAACAAGTAAGGGTTATGATGCTGAGATTGCTACTTGTGTATGGACGCTTCCTCCTGCTATCTTAACTTTGGCAGCTTCTAATCTTACATTTTATAAGACTTACATCAAGTTTTTAATTAAATCTGGTGAACAGATGGAGCCACAGTATGCCAGCAGTGGCCATATTTGGATTTGGAGGTGAGAAAATACTTTGTTTACTGAGTCTGCTATATTCATTAACAAACTTTAATGAAAGAAAGAAAACACTGTAAAAAAGGTATATACATACACAACTGGTATTTCTCACTACAAGAATTGAAAATGAAAGATTTCTAAAAACATTCAACAGATGATTGTGTTTGGAGCGTACAAATTTTTAAGTGTAACTTGTCAAGTTTTCAAGAGTTATTACACTTAAGATTCCATAGCTTCATACACTATACTTTAGTTTCTAAATCCTATTATCTTCGCACCAACTACTTCTGTCAATTTTGTTTTCCAAACAAATTTAATAGACTTACACCCAAATTATGCCTTTGTATTAATTTTTACGTACGTGTTACATCAAATACAAAATGATTTTAAGTTTTTCGGTACAGAAATTTCCATATAAAACTAAGCAATTGTATATTAATATTTTTTTGCAGAAAAACCTCATCATTCTTGCCAAGTACAAGTTTTGAAAATCTTCTTCAGCATCTGGATACTTTATTAAAAAGTTCTTCAAATGTTTCTATAGCAACCAAGATTCTTTTGAAAAAACTTATCGCAGGCAGTGAAGGGTTGCTGTGGGAAAATATTCTTGATTTAACTTTGTATTAACATACAATTAACTAAACAGTAGAGTGTTTAGTGGATTTAACTTTAATAAAAGTTTATATTTCTATGACAACCTTACATAACGTTCATGAAAAATATGGTTTTATCAGTATAAAGTTGTAGCTGAAGGTCGATGGTTTTCATCTCATTACTTCAGAAAAAAAGATCCAACTCTAAACCTTAAGATTGTGAATGCTCGTACAATTTTATTACTTGGTTTGACAAGAGTAGCCAGTATGGGTGCTGTTGACTAGCTCCCTCTAGTCTGTCACTTCATAATTACAGATGGCTAAGCGAGTAGACTGCCTGAAATCCAACAAACTCGGTACAAACGTTTTGTGAATAATTATTTTTGTCTAAATTTCTTAAAATCAGTGTTAGAAAACATATAAAAACAATTATTAATATTTAGTCTATTTTAAAAATTGTTTAATATTGATCTTTAATTTTACACCAAATTTTTAATTTATGCATAGTCATGAGAACTGACTAGATATTTCAATGACATTACACAAAATTGTTCTTAAACTTGAAACTTTCAACCAGTAAAAAGGTTTCTGTGTTTAAAGCAATGCTGTAATAAATGATAATCATATATATTAAAATCCATTCGTAACTATGATAAAATAATTAAGAAGACTTGTTTTATAATGTATCTCTTTCTTAGAGATTTCAAACTAGATGGCATAAAATATTTGTTTTTGTGTCTATTACAAAATTCATCTGAGATTACAGTAACTAAAACCAATTTCGTGAAGTAATCAAAATAGTACTATCTAGTATTTGAACAATGAGCTTCAGGTACATTGACATCCATCTTGTTACTAAATATGTATTATGAATATTAAAATAAACATTATTCAATAGCAGTGTTTGGGGAAGGTTTCATAAATATGTTATACAGGATAGTCCTAATTTGGTATCCCACAATTCTTTATAAACATATACAAGGGAGAGAAATCCCAACTTTTACATGTTTATGACACCTGTGAAGGCAAGGATTTCATGAATATAAGTAAACAAACATTTTACACTAGTTACAGAAGAGTGAAATTAACAGTTATTTCAACTGTGACAGGGTTGGTGGTTAGGGTGCAGGATCAAAAGCTGTTGGGGAGTTAAAATGTGACAGTCAATCCAAGCATTCATTGGTAAAAAACAGCCAAAGAGTTGGGGGGTGTTGACTAGTTGCCTTTTCTTTAGTCTATCACTTTAATATTAGGGACAACTAGTACAATGTCTATGTCAGCATCATTTGAGACCCAAAGATTAAAATTTAACTACATATCATAATAAGTAGTAATTGTCTCCCTTGGATGACAGCAAGAAAAGAACAGGTTACAGGAAGGCTCACCCAAAAATTAAATTATATAAACCATATTTCACAAGTAAAAATTCAACTGAAATCAAAATTACACATTACTATAAACAATAATGAAACTGAGAGACCATGTAGCATGAGACAGTAAAAGTGTAAGCATTAAAATGATTTTAATCAGAGCAGTAGCTAAATAAAGAAAAAAACATGCATATTATATACAGTCATCATCACTACAAAAAAAGTGAAGCAGGTAAACCTATTACACTCGGATCAGTAGATGAAAGTGATGCATTGATAAAAATATACACAGAATTAGTTTTGGCTTTTCTTGAATTCTAGCATACAAGTTTCATAATTTGTAAGCACCTTTCAGGTGTCTAGTGCACATCTGCATATCAAATTTAAGTAAAAATAATATTCTGTCATTTAGTGAGAATATAATTCAAATGAAAAATGTTCAAACTTACATTGCTGTAGAGCTTTGGTAAGTCTTGCCTGTAAACAACTCAATCTTAAAATGTTCAAACTTACATGGCTGTAGAGCTTTGGTAAGTCTTGCCTGTAAACAACTCAATCTTAAAATGTTCAAACTTACATGGCTGTAGAGCTTTGGTAAGTCTTGCCTGCAAACAACTCAATCTTACATTGCTGTAGAGCTTTGGTAAGTCTTGTCTGTAAACAACTCAATCTTAAAATGTTCAAACTTACATGGCTGTAGAGCTTTGGCAAGTCTTGCCTGTAAACAACTCAATCTTATTTTTCTGCCCATCCCAGATTTCTCTTCTGATTTTATGAGTACAGCCTCTTGTTCCCACATTTTTATGACCTTACAGGATGTGGTCAGAGAAACCACAAAAATAGCTACAGGTACAGTCTAACTACCAGTGGATAAAACAGATTCTGAACTATTTACATCATAGTAGAGATGTAGCTTGTGCAGAGACAAGCAAAAGTTTAAAAGACCTAAGAACTTTCTAGTAGTTTCCTAAACCGATTTTTTCCTTCCTGAATTTTTTTTGTGTTAAATTATATTTCTTTGTATAACAAGAGAGACAATATTTTGATAAATACCAACTGAATATTATTGGTAAGTTTATCCTTTTTGATTAACATAGACAAGTAAAATAACTTTTTTAACATAAATAAATTGATCTTGACCAAGAATAGTGTTAGTATAAATATAAAATATTGTTAATTAACCTGACCTGAAACCATTGTGAGGTCATGATGTAGGTCACCAATAAATGTTTGGCCAGTTTTTTGACTTGTAGCTAAATGTGGTAACTACTGTAATCAGTAACATATAAAATAGAACTTCTGATCAACAACAACAAGATTCTAATACAATAAGAAGTACTTTTAACTGTTTAAAAACAAACTGTCTTAATTGTATAACATTCTGAATGATAGAAAACTAAGTCAAAGCCAAAACTAAATACTATACTATATAGAAAGTTTTTACTTAGTTTGGTTAAGTATTTCCACTGTGAGAAGGATACAAATCAGGGGATGTTGATAACCAGAATAGACGAGGCAGACATTTTTAATGATATTCAAAACAATAAGCATTAATGACCAGCTGTTCTGTTGTGACGTGTTATTCATTAAACAAGGTAGGTGTTGTGACACGATAAGTATCACTTCTGAATGTGAAAACTGAGCTGTGAATGCTTCCAAAAATACATTAAAGATAAAAATAACATTACTCTTATTTCTGATACAAAGAAACATTTGTAAGAACATTTTATTAAAAAGTGCTATGATGAAAACAGATGACAAATTGATTTATTCAATGTAGCTTTACACAAAAAGATCACCTGCAGAATCTTATCTGGTCAAGAGGTCTTATAGATTTTTGAAATATCTTCATACTTAATACCATCTACGATTCTTCCTCTCGTTGGACCCTGAAATAGTAAAAAATAAAGGTTCTACTGAAGCTATGAATTGTTAGCAACAGAAAGCTGATTACAAAACTAACAATTTGTAAGAAACTTTTAGCACAAGAACATTTATTTACTACATACAAGTTATCAATGTTTAGAGTAGTGGTTCCCAAACTTTTTTCACTGGTGACAACCTAACCTACTTACCTTGATTTGTGCTGCCACACGTAATATTCTTTTCGTAGTTTTTTTTTTTTTGTTCTTAATTATTCTTCGTTTGGTGAAACGATCATGACACAGTTTGGAAACCACTGGTTTAGAGATATCTAGAATATGCATTTACAAGTTACAATATTCTAGAACTTAGTCAATAAATGTTATTATAAAAGACAGAACTAACTAAAACTCCCAAGTAAATAACCTAGCTTCCAACACATTCTGAAGAAAACGTTTTGGTCTCTAAATTTATAAGGGCCTAAGATTGCAAATGACAATAAAATTCCATACTAAGAAAACATTTAATTGATCTTTAATAGTGAAAATAAAAATTGTATTTTTTACTTGAAAAAATTATGATTCCTCTTTACAAAATCAATTAAAAATTAGTACGAACTATTTCAGAAAAAGAAAAAATAGTTTTTTGTACCGAATCAATTTTAACAGTAACACAAAACTTTTCTTGGTTTATATCCATTAGTACGGCATCACATCCTCTGTAGGCTCCATTCAAAACTCGCACGGGTCGTCCTAGAGCTGGAATGACGGTTTCTAGGTGAGCTTGGTCTAGCTTTAGTACGTCACCCGAGTCGAGCATTTTCACGATACCTACATACAGGTCTTTCATCTCCTAATAAATGTTAATCAAAATATATCATTTTGTGAAGATAAGATTTAAGAAGATGTTGCTTTTTAAGAACATAGTAACATTTATATGCACACAAAGAGATGAATGTGACTACATTTGTGCTGAAATTTTGCAATGTTTCATTAACGAAATTATCCAAGTAATTGACTTGCAAGTTCTTAAATACATATCATAATGTTATTTATATTAAAAAGAAAACTGTACTTGTGAATATGTTTATATCCCATTAGCTAGTTAATAAAACCATGCATTTGATTATCGGCAGGTAATAATATGAAAGAAATATGTGACCAACATGTAAAGTTGTTTAATTACTTAATAAACAAGCACATGCAACAAAATGTTTAACGTCACTATACAGGAGGAGAACAAGTTAATAAAATATATTTATTTACCAAGTTTCAAATAAGTAAACAAACAGCTCAAGAAGTTTCTTCCTTGTCAATAAAAGCGAGAGCATGGATACAAAGTTGTAAATTTTTACGTTCTTCAGAAACCACAAACTTTAGATTTGAGAATACATTTCCGACAAGAGTTGTGGTGGCTGAATAAGGTAAAGGTCATCAATACAAGAAAATGTAAATGAGCGGCAGGAAAAAGACAGTGTGTTGAAAGCAAGCCAAGCAAAAGTTTTAAATTATATAAACACATTTTAAGAAAAGATTCTAAGAAACTAAAGTTAGTACGGTAGTCGTCACAAAATGTAAATTAGCTTATGTATATATATGGTTTCAAACACAAGCTGGTTAACAATGCACAGAAAGAACCCTTAACAGCACATAAAGTGCTAATTAGGCTAAAAAAAAAGGAAATCTACACACTGGGAATCGTCGCAAAGGTGGTTCATTTCAGATATTAGATTTTGTGCTTAAACATTTAAGGTTGTTTTTTTTTTTTTCTATTACTAAAATTATCAAAGAGAAATATTCCACACAACAATATAAAAGGGTGCTGTTTGTTTTATATAAAACACTGATACACTAACAACGGGAAAGGGTGATGTTTGTTGTATATAAAACACCGATACACTAACAACGGGAAAGGGTGATGTTTGTTTTATATAAAACACCGATACACTAACGACGGGAAAGAGTGATATTTGTTGTATATAAAACACTGATGCACTAACGACGGGAAAGGGTGACGTTTGTTGTATATAAAACACCGATGCACTAACGACGGGAAAGGGTGACGTTTGTTGTATATAAAACACCGATACACTAACGACGGGAAAGGGTGACGTTTATTTTATATAAATAATGAACCTTTACTAACTTCTATTAATGAACTTATTAAAATTCTAACTGTTCATCTTTTAAGTTAACAACAAAACTTTCTTGAGTTTCACTTAGTGAAGGAACTTACCTGAACTACCCCCTTTTTCTTGTAGTATTTGTCACCTAGTTGCTTTGAAATAATTTTCACAACTAGTCCCTGCAATAAAATAATTCATCAAGACCATATGAATAACGTGTACTTATAAAGTTGATCTTACACATACACACACACACAGCTGTACTTTTTAAACAACACAATAATTTTAAACTTATTCACAAATTTGTAATAATCAAGCTCTCATATATTCCCACTCTTATTGAAATAAGTGTTCACAGTAAGACTGTGGTAACTGAATATCAATCGTTGCCATGATTTCTTTCTTATATGATCACATAAATCTAGCTATTGATTGGGTTTTATCTTCAGGGAAGTCCTCAGATGGTCTTTCACTGTACTGGCAGGATCTTCTTTATTCACCCAACTGGGTTCTACTCCATTAGAATATAAACTAACTATCTGATTGTTTTTACTATATTCTATGCTAGGTTGACTGAGTGTGTTATCAGTTAGGTGAGCATCTTTTATCTTCTCATGTTTGGTTTATATCCTATTGTTGTAGTATTATGTCAGTTTATCGTATGGTCTATTACATACAGATCAGTATTACAGAGTCTTGTAGATTTATTATGTTCCTAATTTTTAACTTTTGTTGGTGTTTTGTTTCTCCAATGTTATAAATGATATTTCACTCTACATTAAGTCTTTATGTGGCTTGGTGTGTTGTCCTAACTGTGATTGTATTAAAAATACTGTTTTAACCCAACATTGTTTACATATCCTCTGTTTTTAGAGATTTTTGATGCAGGAGAATACGGGTTGTATGTCTCTTTCTAGAGTTTATCTGATGATGTATGGTGGTAGGGCTAAACTGTCATGTTTCAGACCACAGTTAAAATTACAATTCACCGACTCCACCAGATTTTTAGAAAGTACATATTATTAATGAAACAGAAATATCAAAATAACAGGTTGTTACAATCACATTAAAAATTAATAATATTACAAAAATGAGCAACAGAATTTTTAGGCTGACAGAAATCTCTCACATGATTGGTCTTACAATATATCATACTGTAGTATGTCTCACTAGGACAGTTATACATACAGGAGTTAGCCAATAATCTTTCCGATTCAGTCTTTCTTTAGCCTTTTCTTGTTCTTCCATTATTTCATCAAGAACACATTTTTTCTTCTTCTCTCCTACTTCATTTTTTTGTATTTTCCTTTTTTCTCCACCAGGTGGCACAAGTATATTATTCAAAGGATTTGTGTTTGTTGGTAATCTGAAAAATTATGAAAGATTAATGAAACTGGGGATTATAAAGACAACATTTATAGAGTACTTTTTTCTCACAACACAGCATACAGTAAGAGGGTTAAAGTCTACTTTATACTCACAACACAGCAAGAGGGTTAAAGTCTACTTTTTCTCACAACACAGCATACAGCAAGAGGGTTAAAGTATACTTTTTTCTCACAACACAGCAAACAGCAAGAGGGTTCTTTCTGAAAACTACTAATTCATTTTAACTTTATATGTACAGATATACAATAAAAGTTTTTAAACTAGTAGCTTAGACATGGAACTGAATATATACAATAAAAGTTTTTAAACTAGTGCTAGCCATGGAACTGGATATATACAATAAAAGTTTTAAACTAGTGCTAGCCATGGAACTGGATATATACAATAAAAGTTTTT